CTCATTTGCTCAAGAGGAGGACTTATGGGTTTAAGAGGAGGGGCCAGCTCCTGCTCCACTTGATATAGGATCAGGGGCATCTGGACATGAGTTGAATACTCACTGCTGGTGGTGGGCACAGAGGTCCGATAGGTGAAACCTGTATAGAGAAGGAGGGAGGAGACTGGGTAAGGGTTAAGGAGATGTGAGGGACGCAATAGAGTTCAGGACTATCCTGGTGCAATTAAATGAGTTTCACGGGACAGGAGTCATTAAAGATTTCCTAGCAGCATCATCATAACAGGGAAGAGTGCCCAGAGGGAATGCCTCTCATGATAATGAAGAATCCATGAAGTCCAGAACTTAGTCATCCCATGCAGAGCATATGACAGAATTTTCAATGGCCAGGTAGGGAGTGTGCCCCCAAGCCAGAGATTAGAGGTTGCACATCAAGGAGGAAGAGACTCCTAGCATACCACAGCTGCTCACCATTGACATACAGCCTGTTCATGTCCAGAGTGTAGGACCCCAGCTCTTTGATGCCACGGGTCAAGTGGCTCAGTTCCCAGTACAGCTGCTCCCTGTCCACTCCAGGGCTTTTGGGGTCAAGACGGTGGGTGCAGATGGCATCCACTCCAGTGGCTGCTCCATCCTTCTCGGACCTGAGGAAAGTAGGAGGGGGAATGACAATGAAAAGATTACCTAGGACCTGTCTTGAGATTGTTGAGGGAAACATCAAGGAACCAGAGGAAATGAGAAATCTGGGGAAGAGGTGAAAATCTGCACTGAGTACATTGACCACTGTCTTGGTTGGGACTGAGAGTAGAGTCCTGGATATAATAATTTTTATAAAAGCGCAAGATGAAACCTGCATTCTCATGGCATGGGGACAGGAGAACCCAGACTTGAGAGTAGTGAAGAACTTGAAAGAGGGATGCATGTATGTAGATGAGGTATGATTGTCTTAAGAGCAGTCCTGGGGACAGAATTTAACACCAAATGAAAGGGAGGGACAGGCAAAGGAGGGAATTCAGAGGAGTGATCAGGGTGGTGCCTCAATCCTGATGGTGGACCATGAAGATTCTCCATGTTGAGGTGGGGCATGGGGGTGTTACTATCAGGAAACAACATGTTCTCAAGCCAGTGACTCCTAAATTCCCTTTTTGGTGATGATATCCCTAGGAAGTGCAGCAAGGAGACAGTGCAAAGTCTTTTGGAGTGAGGACAATTGGGGCAGCCAGGCTGGCTCTTCTAAAGTCTCACCTGAGCAAAGTCAGTCTGCAGCCAGAGTACAGAGGGCCAACACTGGTGTTCTTGAACATGGGACCAAGCTGTGGAGGTGG